TGCTAAGGCTTCTCCTTTGTAAGCTCTCTACTCACCATATGATCTAACATGGACGATTCCACATTTTAGACTTTCTATGGTATTGCGCTTGCTAGTAATAACATCCTCGAGCACCCTCTTGATTCTCCACTCTCATCTTGTATAACCACCATTGGTTATACCCTTCAATTTCTATGGTTCAATTCCATCCCAATACTACTTGCCTTTTGGCCTCATATGTTTCCTTTAGTTATTCTTCTCCAGACTAGGAGGATAGCTTTGCACATTCTACCATGCCTTAGCAAGTATTTATAGGGATGAACCTACCCAATAGCTTAGGGAGTGGTTCCTCAACTCACCTTATAATCCCACACATCGGGGTTACCGTTGTTACTTATGGGCCTCCATATACCCATCACTAGCCTTGCCAAAATCTCATTTTTGACTTTGTCCAAATCAGGTAGACAGATTCCTCCCGTCTCCACAACCTTAGACGTTTGGATGGCACTTCTTATCCATCATTTGCTAGGGATTTAGTCCTTTAGGCCTTATCTAATGCCCTTGCGACATCAAACACCACTTCCTGGTGTTTTAAAATGTTTGGGTGTCCCAATGATGGTCTTCTTTGGCAATGAGCATTCCCTTTACGACATTAACTTATTATATCGCAACATAAACAGCTTCTCCCCCATAAGGGTATATTTAACTTCCTTATCCCAATAAGAAGTCTTAGGTAGCTACCTTCTACCAGTTTAACCAATTATTTTGCACTTTTTGCTTAGTTGCCTCATAGTTGTCAAGTCCTACAACTCATTGCTTGGTGCTTCCACATCTCCATCATTATCTGGGTCACTACACTCCAATCGCATGCCTTCCAGCTTAGGCCATGCCATTCCCATTTCCATTAGGATTCCTCTAGGAAGGGGTTCTTATAAACCCACCAACTTGACCTCAACGCAACATGCCTTGGCACATTCGGTGTCTCCACACCCTCGGCTCTACAAAACTACCTTTACAACACTCCCCATTTGTGTCAAGGTCTTTTCCAAGACCAAAGCAGTCATTTTTTATGCCAATTATCAATTAGCACTGCACCATAGTGTTCACATACAACTTTATGCCAAAATTGTTTTCTTTTTGGGGAACACCTTTCCCACAACTTTAGCATGGCACATTTTGCCATTGATGAGATACCCTTTTGTTCTCATACTTGGATCCTATGATCCCTCCCCATCCTTCATGGGGTACAACACATCTCAGTCCAAATGCTTCCATCAATCCTTTAGGATTATTTCTTGATTCTATTTAAGTCATCCAGCTTTTTGGACTTTGTCATCCGACAACCCATGAAATCCTACCTTTGAGGTGCCAACTCACTGGAATATAGCTTCTTGAATTCATGTCCTGCTCACAAGGACCATCTTTGCAAGTGTTACTCCGACACCTGATTTTTTCTCTTGGGGCAACCTTTTGCCCCTTAGGACCACTTGTCCATGTGATGAGAATACCAACTCATCCTCTAAGTACACCCCCAACTCCTTGGGTTGTTCTAGCATTTATTAGAGGTAGCCCCGGCTACCATTTCAAGGACTTGTGTCCTTTTCTGTATTTGACCTCTCATAGTCATCAATTCAGGTCTCAAAGTTATGAGCACCAGTTTCAACTATATGAGGGTAATTTTGTGACTCCTTTATTGTTTTGGAGTCTTTATCTTCCCCGTGATCCCAACTATAGTTGTTTACCACAACTACCTTAGCCAGTTTGCTAAATCAAATACTCATCTGGATCACATCCTCAACTCTCTAAGGAAACCCTTATATTGTTCCCAAGATCCCAAAGTTGTTCTATTATTAGCCCTTTTTAATCAACCATCTCACCTATAAGTTCACACATGAACTATAGTGGAGAGCCATGTCTTTCCGACTTGCTACTCCTCACATATAGGCCCACTCCTAGGACCTTCTGATGCTAACACCAATGGTGATATACTTGAGCATCAATAACAGTCGAACTAAGGAACAGCTTCGATACTAAGTTGTAAGCGACTAAATTTTCTATTTTACTTTAGTCATTTAACCACACCTCCGACCACTTGGAGGAGTCTCACTCACAACCTCCATAGGTCTTATTTTGGGCTTAGGGACTTATTAGCCCCCAAGAATGGCATCCATGCCATTCAACCATTGCACTTGGTCCAAGTGCCCCACGTGTCCGATCCCATGATTGACACCCCAAGGTACCACTGACATATCAACCCGTTATGCTAAGGCCATGCCTATTCACCTTGGTCACATCGGTGGTCTGACACCACCTACATTACAGTCCTATCTCTCAAAGATTGTGTCATCCGTCCATGAGTGATCATCCCAAATCCACTCCTTAGCATCCTTAGGATGCCCACAGACATAGGGAATAGCCTTCCCCAACATCCTTTTTCTGGTCTCCACTAAGTCCCTTTCCCCCCATGGCCGTGTTTGCCAACATTGCCACTGGATCGAGGCCCACAGGCCCAACCACTAAGTCCCATGGTCCTCTAGGACTTCCTCACCACCTGATTGTATCCTTGGTCACTACACCAGAGGACTACTCCTCTTCCTTTCCATAGTCTGGGCCTTTGGGACAACATTTCGGAACACCATGGCCCTATGCGGGCCTCATGGGTACTCTCCCCACCTTCTGCCTTTGGGTGCTCTAGCCATGGGCTTAGAGCGAGGTTCCATTGAGCCACGCTAGGTATCCAAGTAGGTAGTGCCACCCATACTTGGACTGGGAGCATCAGCCAGTCGATCTCCCGGGGGAACTAAAGCCGGCTCTTGAACACTTCACCAAGCTACCCCGCTTGTTGGTCCGTGTTCACTCTAGTGTTGGACTTCCCAGTGGGCAGCTTATCACCCAACACTAGGTACAGCCTTCCTGGGTTAAACTGGCCTTTCCTGGCCAAACTGGCTCCACTGCAGTCCTCCCCCTTACTATACTTTTAGAGCTCACTAAACCCCCCAGGGTCTGGGAGACGAACGCTTTGGGCTTTCACCCTCTCAGACTCGGACTCAGACTCGGACTCGGACTCAGACTCGGTCTCGGTCTCGGTCTCGGTCCCGGCCCCGGTCCCGGTCTTGGTCTTGGTCCCGATCTCTGTCTCGGTCTCGGTCTCGGTCCCGGTCTCGGTCTCGGTCTTGACTTCGGACTCCGTCTCGGGTCCTTCTCGGACTCCATCTTGGATTCCATCTCGGGTCCATCTCGGACTCCATCTCGGGTCCATCTCAGACTCCATCTCGGGTCCATCTCAAACTCCATCTCGGACTCCACCTCCGACTCCATCTCGGACACTTCCATGTGTCATGTTTTGGTCCTCTTGTGTCCCCTTTTCTAGAGACTCACTCATGGCTCACCTCGTGCTTGTTCCTCGAGCACTTCATTGGGAGTTCCACTCCCACTCTCAACCTTTTCAAGTCAGAGTTTTTAGTCCAAATGTGTTACACTCGTTTGGCTTTCGCTTCGGCCACTACCGTGTGGCACCCTTTTGGCTCCACTTTGGGGCCTAAGGATTTTGTGTCTCATATGGCAATTAGAGAAGCTAGCAATTCCATCTTTAAGAGAAAGAGGGTAATCCATGAGTTGCATTCCATTGCTTTCAAGAACAATATTAGTAAAGATCATTACATGTCTAGGGTGGAAGCTATGGAGTACATGTTGAGCTATGCCCAAGTAGAAAAAGAGGATGCATGACATTAAGGATGCAAAAGTAGATCCTATGAAGCTTTTGAAACTTTAGATTTGTTTAAATAGAGAACAAAAGAATTCACCTATCTATACAAAATAGAAGCACTTACAAAGAACATAAGCAATTGGAGTTTATGTAAATGCTGCATGGAGGCATTTGCATAGTAGCTACATATGGATGTCAACATACTTAAATATGGATCAAACTCCAAATTTTATGTATTTTTGCTCTCAACTAATGTGAATAAACAACCTTACTCCTCAATAGTGTTCACCTTTGTATAAAACAGGGGTGTATTTCCATATTTAGAGCCTACACATCGCTTTATTAAGTAGTACATCTATATATTTGTTCTACAGATAAAATTGAGATGTAAAATGAAAACTGAATCTAGTGGTGCTCATAATATTAATTCATGCTTATAAACAAAATAAATTACCCCATTAAAATTACCTTTTCTTCTTCTTCTTTTTAGTATTGTAGCCTATATGCTATGCATGCTTGTCTAGTCATTTGCAAACTTGATGATGTGTGTAGCAGCCAGAAGTAAAAGCCACAATCACATAGTCAACTTGCAAGAGTTTATAAACGAAAAATACTTTTAAAACTATAGGGAAAACCATTACATTTTGGCAATACTCATTTGTTTATTGCATTATTCTAGATTCTCAAGAACTACCTATATTGTCAAGCCTTGTGTGAAAGGGATGGAGTGTGTTCCTATACTTGATGCTAATCACATATACTTTCAACAACCTTGAGTGTAAAAAGCATCTCTTCCTTGTAAAGCTCTCTTGCCTGATAAGTAAAGATATATCATCAAGTTCTCTATAAAGTGTAAACACTACATTGCCATAAATAATAATCATTTATATCAATGCTTGGTTCACACTTGTATTTCTCTAGGTCCTATAACAAGTTCACCTAGGTAAACAAAGGTTATATGAGTTAATAGGACTGTAATCTTGATTTTGTGTCTAAATGAAAAGCTCCTGGACCTTTCCAAATGAGCTATATAATCATTTATCAAGATGTTGAAAGTTTCCTAGTTCAGAATGTAAAAAGCCTCTTATATCTAGTTCTTAGCATCTTTTATATTCAAGTTTTTCTTATAAACATCAATCAAAAGATTGTAATAGCCATGATTTATCTGGAAAGTCATGCTTTACATCACCCACAACACAAATAATTATAAAAAAGAAAGATTCATAAAAGTTGCAATGGAAGAACACTACAACCTATGTAACAAGAGACTAGACTTATGCATTTATGTAACAAGAACGTTAATGTAACCTTTAGGTAGGTGTCCAAATAGCTAAGGCATCTTCTTTCAATATAGAACTTGTGCCAGAAAACCTGTTGCTATCTATACAAGAAAGATCAAAGTTCAAGAGAAGAGAAGAAAAATAAGAGAAAAGAAGAAGAGAAAAAACAAAAAAAGAAAAGCAAGGTGTTTATACATAAGTGGATGTTCTCTAAGTAGCTGTCTGGATTCGGAACCACCACATGCCGATCGAACCGACCAGGACGGACAAGCGCCTTGTCGAGAGATTCGGGGAAGTTCGTAGCCGCGATCACTATGATGCCTTCGTTTTGCTTGAAACCGTCCAGCTCCACCAACAGCTGGTTCAGTGCGCTTCTTCGCAGCTGCGAATAAGTCCCGCACTCGCCAAGCACCAACTCCGACGAACATTTCCTCGAACTCGCTCCCGCTGCAATAGAAAAACGGTACCACTGCTTCACCAGCAATTGCCAGAGCCAGCATCTCTTTCCTGTTCCAGGAGGCCCAACCAGAAGGACGCCTTTCGGTAGCTTGCCACCTAGACGGGTAAATTTCTGCAAAGAAGCAACCGAGACTGGAGTTACAAACCGGAGAAACACGAAAGAAAAATAGATAAAGCAATGACCTTTGGATCCCAAAGATGGTGAACAATCTCCTCCAACTCCGCTTTGGCTTCGTCGACTCTTTTCACGTCACTGAACTTGGTATTAGACTCCAAGCTTGGCTGTACCTCCTCATTGAGACCCAGCCCTGCCAGGAACCAGGGGCGTGAGTAAGACCTCCTTTCCTATACAGACAAGGATGCCAGTTCAACACGTAGGCAAGACCTTAAAACAAACGCATCCATGCATTGCAAGCCATGCTCTACGATGCTTACCTTTGCTGAGGCCCTTGTCCTTGACAATGGCCCCAACGCCAGAGAGAAGTAGAAAGCCCAGAGCCAAGGTTCGAACAGTCCGCCACACTTGAACTCTAAAACCTCCTTCGGACGTGACCATGTGGATTGGCGCACTGGGAGAGCCCAAAATTCCGTCTTTCGTGGCTGTTCCTACTGCCGGAAACGCCGAAGACATGATCGGTCGCGCCTCAGCTTGAAAACTTCCTAGCGATGCAGTTGCTCCTACACGGTTTAAAAGAAAATAGGAGGATCAGATCCGATAAAGAAAGAGTTACAGCGTTTACCTCTTTGCAGCGTTTTCAACAAGGCACTGTCATCGAGCCTATCGACCTTGACGAGAGCTTTGAGATACTCGGCCAAAGCACTGGCGCTGCGCTGCGGAAGTGGTCTACCCTCGGGATCCACCTCGTTAAGATCTCTTAGAAACTTCACTTGTTTCTCCTGAGCATCGGGCCCTCCTTCTCTCTCCAGCTGCTCCAGCCTTCTCGAGAAATTGCTTGTGTAGCTGGACATGCAGCGTCTCTTGAAATTCAAGCATCATTAGCAACGGGAAGAGGACGAGGGAAATCGGATAGAAAAATACCTGCATCCAGCTGCTTCAACACAATCGCGCGTCCCAGCCCATATCGAAATCCGCGGGCAATCAGCGCGGGCGCAGCCCTAATGGGAGAGAGGAAAGAGAGCGCCATACCTTCTCCAGCAACTGACGCCATGCCATGCCGCCCGAGCTCCCAAAATCGATCCTTCACGCGCTAGGGCGCCCTGGCAGCCACCGCCTAGAAGTCCCCAAACCATCAAGAACACGAGAATACCCAGAGGGTTTCAACCCCTCCTCCTCGCTCCTCCGCGTTTCAATTTCGTAGCATATTCTCCCGCGTGAGACAGAATATTCTAAAAGTACACATTCAAAAAAAAAAAAAAAACCCAGCCTTTTGGCTGGTTATATAATTCAAAGAAAACTGTACATTCTCTTCATTGTAAAAAATGTTGTGATGCCCCTGGAGCTATCGTTATGGGGGCAGCACCGAGTTTCTTCGTTCTTTAGAATTTCTCCCACGAAAACCAATTGATCGATCATCGGTTCTGGAAGTTGAAAACTTTGATGCAGATGGCGAAGCACACCGCGAAGACGACGACGAGGCCGACGTGAACTCCGGCCACGACGCCCAAGAAGTCGTGCCTGAACCCAAAGTTGGACCTCAAGAAGCGCTCCACGGTCGTCTCTTCGCCGTCGGCCCGGAACAACGGCGTGGTGACATCTCCAAGCTGAGACGTGAAGAGGCCGTAGAGAGACCACGCCGGTGGCGACGCCCAGTAGTACCACCTCCACCACACTGGAATCGCCTGAGAGACAAACCAAAGTGTTAGGGAATCGCAAAAGAAATGTGTGGAATTCATGAACTTACCGGTCGAGGGATGATGAAGCCAGAGAACAGGTTCCAGATTCCGAAGAATGCCGAGGATACGATGGTTGCAATCTGGTCGTTGGGTGACAGCGCCACCGTCACCATGCCGTAGAGCGTGAAGTAGAGGAACGTCATGTACAAGAAGAAGAGGAACCACAAGAACTTGGCTGCTGTCCATTCCAGCTGCATCGTCGCGTACACAATGAGTCCATACGCGAAGGCTTGCACGAACACGTAGGGAATCTCGATCAGGACCTGGACGCACGGAGTTTTCCTTGATGAGTCAAACGAAATCTGAAGAGTCGGATGTATGCCTTACCTGAGCAAAAGCATATGGAAGGGGAGAGTACATTCCAGCGGCTCTTTCTCGATAGTAGACCGTTCGCTCGATAGCAACGACTGGCTGCACTCCTGACAAATTGCTGAACCCAATGAAGAGCACAGCAGCGTATATAGATCCCATCAGATTAAAGAGGTCTTGTTCTCGTGATCTGCTCACGAGAGAAAGGCAGGAGTCAGAACCAACGCTCGATTGAACTACACAACGTTTACCTTTTCGAGCCGATGTCCCAAAACATTGTGCCAAATATTATCGCGACAACCAAGGTGAAGAACATGCGAACCAGAACGTAGTATGGATTTTTCCAGTATGACTGATGTTGTTTCCACAAGCATCCCATGACCTGTCCGAGGAACGACAGAGGGTATTGCGTTGGAAACCATATGTCCTCCGTGCCGGGAACCGGAGTGCTCAGCTGAGTAATAATAGCTTCATTGTGCCTAGACACACCAGTGGTTTAGCCAAGAAAGAGATAATGGTCAAGTGTGCTTACTGGTAGACTGGAGAAGTTTTATAGATGTCCGCAAAATCTACTCCTAGACGATTCTCCACGTCTGCAGCGGTAACCTCTAACATCCATGTAGCTGGATTGTATCCTTCTCTTATGTTAGGAACACCGCTGATACCCTGGGGAAATTAATCCATATAAATCATCTCAAGTCTGCAAGAACAAAGCAAGCGACTTACCTGGAAGTATTCAACAAGTTTGTGCGAGTTCTTTCCCAAGGAACCTGCGTAGATAACGCGCCCTCCGCGTTTCATCAACAGAAGCTGGAGAAAGCAGGCAGGTTTTCAAGAGAGTTTGCAAGGTAATAATCCCGTACCTCATCGAAGGCCTCAAAAATGTCAATGCTAGGCTGATGAATGGTGCAGACGACAGTGCGACCGGTGTCGACAGTGTTCCGGACCGTTCTCATGACAATTGCTGCCGCTCGTGCATCCAGTCCGGAAGTTGGCTCGTCCATGAAAATAATTGAAGGATTTGCAACGAGCTCCACGGCAATTGTCAGTCGTTTCCGCTGCTCGGTCGAAAGTCCATCAACTCCAGGGAGACCAACCAACGCATCCCGGAGAGGGTTAAGCTCTACAAGCTCCATAACTTCTTCCACAAACATCTGTTCCAAAACTCACCTTAGCAAACTTGACTACGAAAAACATCTCTCTCCTTACCTTTTTCGTCCCCTTATCAATGTCATTCGATAGTCGGAGCCAAGCAGAATAAACCAGTGACTCGTACACTGTAACGTTGGGTGAATGAATGTCAGTTTGTTCGCAATAACCCGAAATCCTAGCAAAAGTAGCCTGGTTTTTGGGATAGCCGGAGATGCGAATGTCGCCTTCAATGTAGCCACCAGTTTTACGCCCGGCTAAAACATCCATGAGAGTTGTCTTTCCAGCACCGCTTACACCGACAAGAGCCGTGAGGACTCCAGGCCTGAAGCTACTGCTTACGTCGTGCAGCAACTGTAATCTATTTTCTGTCACGCCTTGTTGCTTCATTTCCTGTTACAAGTGCATTAGAACTCAATATCCTACAAAGGAAATGCGTAAAAGCATACCGCGGGCATGTCAACGTAATAGTTAACATGATTGAATGACATTGCTAAAGCTTGAAACGGGAGTATCATTCCCCTTTTAGAATCGGCACCCATTCGACCAGACGTAAGCTCCAAATCTCCTGGCATTCGATGTTAGACCATATAATGAAATTTGTGATGGCACCATTACCTGCATTAGAAGATCTGCCCGATCGCTTTGATTTTGCACGCACTGATCTTTCTGAGACTTCGCCGGTACGGTTCACGTTCTGCTCTTCTAGTATTTCCTCAGACACTACGGCCTGCGGTTTTCCAGGAGCTGTTTAAATAGAAAAAATGAGTACCTACATGGAGAAAAGAAATAGATTTCTACGTACCGCTGAAGTAAGCGAGTGCCAAAGTGAAAACAACGTTGAAGAAAATGGCATAAGCCAACTGAGCACCAGTTCCAAGCCAATACCAGTTTTTATTGGGGAACAGGCCTCGAGACTCTAGAACTTGGTTGCCAACGGTGGTGGTCTGATTGGCATTTTCGAGAATCTGCCATCTTGATGCACTGAACTCGTTCACGGCAAGCGCATTCTGTGCGTACATCATGGGCGACGACCAATATCCCCAAATCCACCAAGGTTCAATGTCCTCTGGAAATTAAAGACCATTATAAGTTGTGCTACCTGAGTATAGTCAATGGATTACCTCTAGAAAGAAGAAAACCACCGAGGACAAGAACTATCAGCAGCGTGAAAGAGCCGAAGGTGTTCGCTACAACCATAGTCCGAGAAAGTGAAGCAATGAATCGGAAAAGACCTCCCGACATTTGATGAATTAGGAACATGAGGAGGAACTGCTGGAAGAACCTGAAACACTCAAACATAAAATATCAACACTATTTCTCACTAAACATCAATGTAACAAACCTGGCGGCACTAGGAGCAAATCCAACCACGTAGTACGTCATGCACACCCAAAGTGCTGATTCGAGCAGGGACACTGGAATTCGAGTGATCACGTTAGGAAGAGAAAATGCCCACGCAGGAAATAGCATCTGGTCCCGCTGCTTGTAAAATACTGGAAGGCGCGCAATGGTCATCGACAACTCCGCCAATCCATTAAACATGACGATCATCAGGCCGAAGAACAAGGCTCCCATGTAGAGACTGCCATCGCCAACAGTTCTGTGATGCATTTCGGTCCGGAGAAACACAGTCATCGTGATTACGGCTATAACAATCAGCTGCATTGGAAATTTTAGTATCAGATATATAGATTTTAGTCTTCGATAGCATACCTGAGAACCTTTGAACACGTAGACGAATGAGTTCCTCTTCATCAAAAGTATCTCCCGCGCCAAGAGAGCCTTGAAAAGCTCCCAGTTACTAAGAGCGTACTTCTGAGTGACAAGAGCTGCCGGATGGCTTTTACTCTTGTCAAAAGGCCGCGCCAATTCTTCAGCAATGTTCTGACCGACATGGAACTTTTGAAAGGCATCCGCGAACTCCTGGACAGGTATAAATCTGTATGGCATCCTCTTGTCAGCCCAATACTGTTCCTGGTCTTTCCTTGACGTAACTTCTTGCAAAAAGTCCGCGACACCTTTCCTCGGAGGACATTTAAATCCCTGCGTCTCGAAGAAATCCAACACGAGTTCCCGGGGCCCCTGATATACAATCTGCCCCTCCGACAGAAGAATCAAGTCGTCGAAAAGCTCAAACGTCTCGGGCGCAGGCTGGAGCAAGGAGATGACCATGGTAGCATCGAGCACATGGACAAACTGCCTTAAGCTCTTCACTATCTGAAATGTGGTCGAGCTGTCAAGACCGGTTGAAATCTCGTCCATGAAAAGAGACTTTGCAGGCCCAACGAGCATCTCTCCTGCAAAATAAACATTTGTCATAAACAAATCGTGACCAAAAAGCTTCCAGGCTTGCAAGTCTTACCTGTAGTGACACGCTTCTTTTGTCCTCCAGAAATACCCCTGCGCATGGCGTCTCCGACAAGTATATCAGAACAAACGTCCAAACCCAAAATCTGGAAGCGAAAAAATGCATGAGAACCGCGAATCCTCTTTGATCACGATCCAAAACACGCTTACCTTCAGCACATAGTCCGTCACAATGGAGGTCTCCTGACCCTCTATAGCCGACGCCTGTAAGAAGCTCGTAAGAACGCTGCCAACCAAAAAGTGCTTATTACCTTCATGAACGCATCAACATCAGGATCCGGTTTGATCTTGGCATTTTTCTCCCGTCTTGAAAGCTCCGTTATCATCTCTAACACAAGTTATAAGAAAGTCAATTCCACTTGCACGCCAACCCAGGACTTTGCTTACGATATCTGCTTCCCACGCCTTGACACCTAGAAGCAAAATCAAACGTCTCCCTCACTGTCAACTCCCCGCTATGCAAGTCGTGTTGGCTTATGTAAGCAGAAGTCCTTTGAGGCACAAATTCAGTCAATGTGTGGCCATTGTAGGTGACTCTCCCAGAAACCTGTAAAGTGAAATCGAAGATGAGAACCATCT